AAAAACAACTAAACTGATTTTATAAGATACTCCATATTTCGTTATATACGAGTTATTGTAGTTGCGTTTTAAGTTTAATTTCGATAAGTAGGAGAGGGAAATAATATTATATTCTGATAGTCAATAACCAATAGGAAATATTAAAGTTGATTTGGGGGTGTTATTTATGGTAAAGCAAACTTTAAACTAGAGTAGTTTTTATTGTATTTATACATCTAAAATTAATGTCAATGATAATGAGCCCGTTTAATAATTACCTCAAATAACTACAAAATATATTAATCGATAAAATTTTTTTTTTAATGATTTTAATTTTTTTTAAATATTTAATAACAATAACACTGTGATAGTTAGACAAAAGATGTAACAATGAAGAATACTTGAAATATTAAAATATTTTTAATTCGTAAATAAGCTATTTTTAAATTAAACTAAGGACCTAATTATAGTCATTATGAGTGTTTTTGTTATTCATTTTTAAATAATTTCTTATTAATTTGTTGTTGATTGTTATGTTATCAATCTATGCGTAAACAACTTCTTATCAGAATTTAATAAAATATTTAATTTTAATATTCCTTTTATTTAGTCATCCATAATTCTTAAATAATAATAATAAGGATCATCATAATAAAAAAAAGGTAATATGTTAAAGTGTATTAATATTACATTGATCAAACAATTTGAGATTGAATTTTACAGAAATTTGTTGAAAAAGGTAGTTGAAACTATTAAGTCGCTTGCTTCCCGTGGTCTTCCTTTTTGGGAATATTCGTATTTTGATTCTGCACACAATGGTAACTATTTAATGTCGCTCGGACAAATAAAAAAATTTAATCAGTTTTAGTTGATCATATAGATAGTTTTGGAAATAAAAGTAGTGGATCTACATTGTATTTATATCACGTTATATTTGACGAGTTTATTTTATTGACCATGAAAATGTTAAAAAATATTATTTAAGAACTAAAAAAGTCAACATAATTTTTTTACAGAGAAATACTCGTCGCGTCAACACATAGATAGTCAATTTTGGAATTTAATATTAAACAGAATGTTAATACAATTAAAAATTTATCTAAGACTGGGTGGCCAACTCTCGCAGACGCCTGTAGAACGTTATCTATTTCATGGGACAAAATTATTAAGGCATTAGCTAGTACTAAAGATCTTGAAAAGAGTGTCACACGAAGTGAATTAAATGGTCTATATAATCAATAGCAAAAATTAGAAACATTATTTATGGTAATTTTATATTGGAACGATTTAATGCATCAAATAGGCAACAGCAATGTGTCGAGATTAGTAATTATAGTTTCTAAAATGAATGAATCACTTATTAATTTAGTACAAAAAAACAAGAGATACATTTAAAGAATATGAATATAAAGCTAAAAAGTGTCAAATATTACTTATAATAATAATGTTATAATGACTATAATGTTGATACAACTCGACAAAAAAAGAAAAAATTTCACTTTGATAAAAAAAATGATTAACATAAAAAGTTAAATGGTGAAGATTAATTTTGTGTACAAACATTTTATGCCATTATTGATAAATTGACTAATAAACTTATGAAAATGTAACAGTTTTACAAGTTTCATGGTATGTTCAAAGTACTACTAAAAATTTAATCTCTAAATTCTTTTGAAAACAGTCTAATAAGCTGAGAAATTACAAAAATAAATTATATAAATAAATGATATAGGCAATAATTTTGCGTCAGTATATATACATTTGCAATATTATTTATTGAATAGTGATATTTACAAGTTAATTTATCTCCAAATACACTATGCAAGTATTTGAGGGGAAAATCTTTACACGTTGAAAATTTTTCAAATATTGTTACAGCATTAAGAAGTTTCGTGTGTGTACCAGTGTCTAAATGTATTACATAGAGATCGTTTTTGTGTCTCAAACGCTTAAATAACTATCTATGATCTACTTAGATTGATACAAAGTTAAATAATATTATTTAAATTATAAAGATTTAATTGACTCATCTGTGAAAACCAAATATCGATCTAAATAAATTTTATAATTTCTAATTACGTAATACGTGTTAAATATGTGATATTCTACCAATTATGTGTTCTTTTTATTCTCAACCACGTGTTACTTATATTAATAATACAATAATACATAGTAATACATTAAAAATAATGCTTATTTTATAATTTATTATTAAACAAAGTATTGCTAGAAAAATATTTTTAAATCCTTTTTAATTAGTATTGAGAATTAGTAGTGCTATTGCAAAAATAGAGGAAATTGTCTTTCCCCCCAATAACGTAATGGTGTGAGGCAAATTTTGAAATGCTTATAAACGGAAAATAAGTGAATGCGCCTCTGAGTTTATTGTGCAATTTGTGACAAAGTGCTATGTATTGCTAAACAAAATTGTGAAAATATTTTTACCAACCAACTGGTTCCTACTTTTCTCTTATCTTATTTCCGTTTTAACATATTGCTGAAGAGTTATATAAAATATTTAAATAAAATGTTCGTTACAAATCTTTGGCCAGTATTTAAAAGCCAATATATCACAAAAATTGATCTTTATAATTTTTGTTGAGGAAGGATGTTCTTTCACACGAGTCAATTTTACCAAGAAAATTTTTTTTTCCCTTCAACATATTTTTAAGTCGAAAAACTGATAAATAAGATATTTAGTAAATAAGGAAATGGGATTCTACTGTTTTCATTGTTAGAAACAATTGACATGTTTCCTTACTTTTTGAACATTCTGTATATTGTTTTGTTATGGAGGTGAAATGTTTATTCAATAATATATACGTATAGTAAAATATTATGATTTAGTATACTAATAATGATGATGACCTCTTCAAAATTACCTCTTTTTAGTCCCCATAAAAATGTCTATCTAATTTCGCTTATGATTCAAGACTCCTAAGAATAAAAAACCCAGCACAGTGGGGACGTGGCATAGTTGGGTCAAGTATAATAATATCTGACAGGGATTAATATCACTATCATAAAAAACGCTTCGATGCAAATCTATAAATAGTGTTTAATTTTAAAAAATTATTTCAAAAGCTACATGATCTCTTATTTTCTTATTTATATCCTGATTACAAGTTTTATGATTTATAAGTGTAATATATTTATAATATATAAATATATAAAGGGAAATGGTTTTGTTTAAAAAAAAAGTATGTCGAATGAAAGAGGTATATAAATAGTATTTATCATAAAAATACTGTATTGATCCATATATTTTTTAAAAAGTTATAGCATTATAAAATTAAAAATATAAAAAAGAATTTTTTTACAAAAATCTTATTTTTTTATTAACTATGATGTTAGTTTTCACCATAAAAACCAACTAAAGTCCAAATTTTTTCTGTTCATAATAAAGTATATTACATAAGCTTTAATTTAAGATATATATAAAAGTATCAGTATTTCCGGAACAATTTCAAAAGTTAATTTTTTGTGAAAAAGTTGTCATTTTGAATCCTCCCCTGTGGGCAGGTAAAGGGTCATATTTATAAAAAAAATATACCAAATGATGGGTAAAGACATCATGCATCTATAAAAAAGAATTATATTGATTTGGTCATTTTTGAAAAAATTAGCGATTTTTAAATTTGTAATTTTTTTGGAGATTCCTCTTATTTACGGGGATCCAGGGAAAAATTTTCAATTTTTGAGGGTAATGTCTTTGAGTATATACGGTTTGTATTCTTTTGACGTATCGTTGAAAGAAATCAGTTAGGTGAGAGCCGAGAAAAAGTGGTAACAGACACAGAAAAAAAAAACACATCATAGTAATATTAATACCTTCTCAGCTTCGCATGGAAGCTAAAATTAATATTTTGGCATTATTATATTCATAAAACAAATTTAGTGAAAACATCTTCTAATACGATACCCTCATTCAATTTAATTGTAAGTAATTTTTAACTGTATAAATGATGATAAATTATAAGTTTACTGAAGTAAGGTATATGTAATTAATAGAATTAAGATATTATAGAAAAAAAAAAAAAAATGAAAGTTTCGACGTGTTATAATAATAATGTATCGTGTTTATTTTTTATAATAAAACATAAAGGTCAGTCCTTCTTAGAAAACTACTCCAACTAACCCTCGTAATTTGTATTTAAAAAATGTCTATATCAATGGTTTTGTATTACAATGTATAATCTTAGATGGTAGATATTTTTAAGAAGATGATTATTATATTTAAACCTATAACAATAATAAAACAGTTTTAATACTGAGAAGATAAATTGGCGGGTGCACCGGATAAAACATTAAATAAGAAAATTGTCAAAGTGAGTTACAAAAAAAAAAAAAAAAAATGGAAGAGAAACCTTTATGTGCAACGTATGGTAAATCCTCATTAAAACGACTAAATTGATTGTACATTTATGTCATAAATCGTCGTGTAATTATCAGAATTTAAAATTGCTGCTCTAAATAGTTTTAAAACATGATATAATGTCTTATTTCTGTGTACTAGCCAACTTATCATCAATGTTATAACTTCCTAACTGAATATTTAGGCAAAATTCTGACTGAAATTTTCAAGTTTTCAGAATGATAATGTCGATATTATCATAGTATATCAAAAATAACATGAAAGTGACCTTAGTTTTACATATTAATTCGTATCATTATTTTTATAATAAATCGTTTGCAGTTAATAATTCATTTTTAATGATATTTAATAAGTATTTTCTTCGTAAAAGTAAACAATATTAAGTCATCAAGTTATACTTATCAAATCATTATAAATATTTTAAATTATTTTACAATGTGATTTATTTGTGCTTGTACACTCTACATTACCATTAAAAATTGGTTTACTCATGCATATACGAATTTAAGTTTTATTATCAAAAAACAATTTTATGTTTAAAATATTTTTTATTTAAATATTTATATTTAGGTTAACTTCATATAAGATGTGAATATTGTTATTAATTTTTAAAGATAAAATTCATTAAAAATTTAGATTTATTTTATACTTTAGAATAATGATGCAACTAGAAATTAGTAGGGGGTTGTATTTCCTACTTCCCCCTCCAAATTAATTGTAATATTTGAATTATTAGTCATGACATTTTTTTTTGTCTCATTTGAATTTTCTTAAATAGCAATTCAGAGTAAAAAAATTTAACTAAGCGTTACTTTTTAGTAGCGCTACTACTTTATTTTTAAGTAATTTACAACAGTTATAAGAATTTTCGTTACTATAGAAATAAATATTTTAGCTTCAAACCGAAACTAAATGATTAATTTTACCCATATATTATCAGTCTATTTGTAAAAATACTTAAAAAAGCAATTTTGATCATGTTCTATTAAAATAATAATAAAAAAAGTATCATTCAAAAAATCATAATGGCTCAACTACAATTTATTTTTCAATGAAATCATTTACAAAAGTATAACGAAAATGACCTAACTTCATATCTACGATATGTCAATGATAGTGTAAATATATAAATATATTTAATTTTTTTGTAAAAATAAGTATGCTTTTATTATTCAATTAAATCTGTTGTTGAACCAGTACTAATTAATCAAAATACTATTTCACCAACGGTTAACTAGATTATGTAATTTGGATTTTAAACTTTCGTATTATTATTTTTTAAAATTCACTTGATAAATTGGAAAAACTGAAGCTCTTAATTTAAATAAGATTTAATAAATAGAGAAAAATTATTTTGAAACTATTAATTACTATTAAATAATTAAGTTTTGTTTAAAATGGTTAATAATCATAGCAAATAAATTTTTATTACAAAAAATCTTTCAACTACAAAATAGATAAGATCCTATAACTATTTTTGGAATAAAACCATTATATAATACATAATTTGATTTACTGCCAATCATAATTAAACTTAACTTGCTTATTTTTATTGTATTTTATAAATATTTTTGTATTTAATCTGTATATAAGTTAATTTATTGATGAAAAATAATCAGTGTTTCTATAAACTCATTGTGAAGTAGCTAAAAAGTTTTATTTTTAACTTGACTTGGTTTATTTAACATTTCAAAAGAAAGATGTTCATATATTATACATTATATGTTGTTATTATATATATATATATATACACAGAGTGGAACGGATCTAACTGACTCATTTAACTTATGATCTACATAACATTTTGTACTTTATTTTTTTAATCAATTTTTATAATATAGAACTATATTTAAAATATGTTTTATGTTATTTTTCGCAATTATAAAATTTTTTTTAAAAATTAATTTTTTTTTTTTTTAAGATTTTAAGATAGTCATTTTATAGATAAGTTTTAAAGAAAAATTTTGATACCAAAAACTCTTATTTTAATTCAGTAGTTATGTTTATAACATAAAACACATTTTAAATATAGTTCTATATTGTAAAAATTGATTAAAAAAATAAAGTATAAAATGTTACGTAGATCATAAGTTAAATGAGTTGTCAGTTAGATCTGTTCCACTGTGTATATAAATTATGCGTTATTTATTAGTAGTACAGTACAATAATAGAATTAATAATAATTCAATTTTTTCTTTTTAAATTATATACAATTTTATTTGTTAACTAGTATAATTTATTACTAAAATAATTTAAATAGTTATTATATTATTTTATATTTTATCTAAAAATAAATCACTGAATTTTTTTTTTATAACATGGTAAGTTAAAATGAACTATATTTTATAATACAGTAATTTGTCGAGTTTATAAGTTAAAGTATTAGAGAAACAAATAAAAATTACACAATTTATATTAATGAAAAAAAAAAAACATTCTTTTAAAAAGAAAGTTGTTTAATAAGTTAAATAAATGAAGTTAGATTCAAAATAACTGCCAAGTTAAAATACTGTGTTAGTAATTTAACATAATCAATATCTGTGCCAGATATTGACAATGAAATGTATTCAATTTATATAAAATTGATTAAAAAATAATTTTTGATATGGATATGTGTGATTTTTGCTATAATACATCTAAAGTTTTTAAGTTACAAAACTTGTAACAAATCACATTGGGATGTAAAATAAATACTTCTAAAATTCAATTTTAATTATTTAACTAAATTTTTATAAGATATTATTTAAAGTATTCATTTTCAAATTAATTGACTATTTTAAGATTAAAATAAAGCTTGATAGAAGTCTTTTTGACAAAATCGTTTCAATTAAAACAATTTAGAATCGTTAATAAGAAATATTAAGTTAAAGTATAGTTAGGGTAGTCAGTTACAGTAGAAAAATATAGTTGATATTCTAAAAAAAGTTAGTTAAAAATATACAAAAATAAAATTTGATTCAATAACCGTTGGTCAATATAAAGTATGATGTGTCAATGAATACTATAAGTAATTTTATTTAGTAAAGTACCCTGTGTAATACAATCTAAAATCCATTTTTCATTTACATTGAAATTTGTTTTAGGGTTACTTCCAATCACTACTTTAGCAGAGTTCACATTGTTGGTGATATTGCCTCCACAAGTACGAACCAAGCGTTTTAAATCTTTTGCGGGTGGTTCACAAGAGTCTGATATATAAATTTTACCAGCAGTATCAAATATGTGAAATGTTAATAAAGAACCAAATGTGTTTTTTTGTTTCTGAAATGTCTAAGAAATATATAATTATAGAATACTGTAATTATTAAATTAATGATTAAAAAAATAAAAATTACTTTGACTGGTTCTGAAAGATTAGTAACTAGATATTTAATATGAGATAACCATCTTCCTTCTTTGTGAGAATCATGCACCTATAGTATAGAATATGATTTAATTAATGTTTTATTCGTTTAAAAATAAAAAAAATTACCCATCCTTCAGAAACAATATAACATCCAAAAGCCATAGCATATACTAAATTTAATGTCCTATTTGGTTGAGGTTTGGTAACTACATAAGTAGTTGATGGTTCTACCTTTGTACTAAAATTAAATATCCCCAAATTATCTATTGATTGTTGTATAATATCAACTTCGCTGTAAAATATAAAAATTATTAACATTATTTTAAATTTATAAACCCTGATTCAATAATTTTTTTTACCAAAATTTATAAAATAGGGTAAAAATATCTTAAAATATAACAAAAATGAATTCATTTTACACTCCAGTTATCAAATATCAATAGTATTAACTTTTTAAGTCAAATCCAGAATGTCCTCCTACTTAAACTTTTATATATATTTTGAATATAAAAAGTAGCTTGGAGGAACACTCCTTCCTAAAACAAAAAAAATTCCTGTGGTACTGTATTATTATCTATGATAAATTTTCATGAGGTTGAGTTTCTCATAAATGGTCTAAACAAATTTTATAAATGCATAAAGTCTCAAGATCTACTTATAACATTTCTTAATATTAACAATAAAGAACCAGACCATTTTACTGTAATTAATATTTATATGAATTCTATAAGGAATTTCAATGCTGATTACAAAAATGGTTTCAGATATAATATAAATTTATGGGATCAAATTACATATAGTATTTGAGATATTTACTAAATAGTAATCAATCAATAACTTCGTAAATAAATTATTATAAAAACTGGAAATAATATATATAATTCTAACTTAAATTATATAAATTGATGATGTTAAAAAAAGGATTATAAAAATTTGGAGGATGTTTGTTAAGATTAATAGTTTTATAATCATTAAAATTTGAGTTTGATAAAAATCTGAAGTATTCACTTTAATTATTGTTGGGTTATTTTCATGGTTAAGAAATGGCTACCAATTAATGGGAAATTTTGTGAAGAATTCAAAATTATCTATTTTTGTTTTTACATGACAAATAACAAGCAAAAATTTTAATTATAATAAAAAATATATGTATAGCTTAAAAATATGGAATTTTATTTTTATAAGTATTTTTTTTAGCAATGTTTTGAATTGTTAAAAAAAAGTATTTAATGTCTTTTTTGATAATTAAAATTATAATAGACCAAGTGCACTTGTCCCTTTTTTTTATCTGGTCCTATACTTGATAGATTATTGAGAATATTATAAATTATTTCTTGATCATGTATACCAAACAAACACATACTCAGAAAGTTGTTTTTAACAAACCTGTATACATTAAAATTTTAATAATTTATTATAGAGCTTAAAATTAATTAAAATTGTATACCTTTTTTTCAATCCTGTACAAACTATTGTTTGTAAAGCTATTGAACTAGCTAAAGACTCTTTTGGAGTTTGGAAAAATACTGAGGAATCCCTAGACAGCCAACTAGTTAATTTTGTTTGTTTATTATTTTCCACTGGTTTAGATATTGTTTTTACTTTTTTTGGTCGTAAATCTGAAGGTATTTTCCACTGTTTGATATGTTTTAATACATTATTTTCTGGTGTATCTCGTTTTTTATTATTATTATCTAGTATTGTTTGTTTATTTACATAATTTTCTGGCGCTATTTTTTCTTTTATATTATTCTCATTATTTATTTTTTCAACTAATATTTTTGTTGGTTTCTTTTTACTAGTTAAAAGTCTAGCTGGAGCACTTATTCTAATTTTTTGAGGAGACGGAGTAGGAAAATCGCTAATATTACTAACATTACTCAAATCCACATCAGGGAATAACAACTTTCGTAACCTCTGCCTAGCACGGCTGTTTAGTTTTAAACGATCTTCAATTTTAATCAAATCACTATCCAATGCTGCTGGAGTTTTGTTTTCACTTCCTTTAGGAGTTAGGTATTTCCTCAATAGTTTTATTGACATTGGTAAATATAGTTCATCAACATGGTCATCAGATATAGGGCTATCATTTGTATTTAATACTTTACTCAATTGATCTGATAAAACACTAATGATGTCATTAGTTTTAAATGGATCTTCCTATAAAAAAAAAATTTAGAATCAAATATCTTTGTAATTGAAAATATAAGACTTACAGGTTCTTTTTTAGTTTCTTTTTTAGGTGTTTCAGTGTAACTTTTATCTTCATTTTCATCATGAGGACCCATTAATGCATTGATTCGATTCATTAGATTACTACATTTTGTTTTTAACATTTCATCTCGTTGTGCATCACTTGGTCTTAAAAACTTTTTATACTTGTTGTACTTCTAAATAATTAAAAATTTAACATAATAATCAATAAATTAAATTGTATTTAAATAGTCGATTGGTTAAATAAGATCCTATTTGTTAAAATAATGAATTTTATAATTATTTTGTTTTTTAATGAAGGAATATGTCTTAATGGATTAAATTTTTTTGAATAATTCAACTAGTACTATTATAGCCAAATGATAGTTATTTTTTAAACATCTTCTGAAAATTAACATTGCATATCAAGAGCATTTATATAGTTAGAAGTATAGTTAAGATTTTTATGTTTCTTAATATCAGAAATTTTATTTAATTAATTTCTGATAAGTTATAATGTTATATTAGTTTATGAATATTTTCCCGATCATTGAAACATTGTAATTTATTTGAAAAAATAAAATCAAGGTAAAGTCACTAAACCCTAATAATTATATTATATGAGATTATTAAATCAATTATAGATTTAATGATTTATATTGAGATTAAAATTTAATTATAAAATCAATAAACTAATGTATAATTTAATAATTATTTACCGGATGATTAAAATCTATTTCTGGTGTCTTTTGATATTTTTCTAGATCAACAGGAGGATAATTAGCTGGATCTAACAAAGTATTAGAAATTTTACATCCTTCTACCCATCTAGCTGATACAAGAGGAATATTTCGTTCAATAGCTTTCCGGTACGTTGCACGGTATCCATCTCTAAATACTACATGTGTAACCTTAAAAATAGTTGATTACTTATAAAACTGCTAAATATTAACTTTGTAAATTTGATTATTATTGTAAGTCTTATTACCTTTTGATTAAAAGTTTTTTCAATTTTAGCACCCAATTCAGTAAGACGATGTTTCACACCAATACCACTACGATCGTTGTCAATTTTATAATCAACAAATGCAACCACACCTACCATGAATTAAATTAAAAATGAATTTTTATAAATGTTTATGATTTTATTATATGTTCTCTATAAAAATTATAATTTTAAAATTTACAAATAATGTTCTGATTAAATTTCTGATTTCATATAATTAATCCAGTATATTAAAGTATGTGTTTAATTAAGACGACAACATCGTAATTGTTATATTAATTGAATCTAATTAATATAATTTAGAATGTTTTATAAATTAATTAATTTATTTTCATGATTATATTATAATACCATAACAATATAAAAGAGTTGGGTACAAATAAAATCATACAAAATTCAGCAGAAAATATATATAAAATAATTATTATTTTTGTTATACAACATTTAGCAAGTAAAAGTTTATTTTCATTTTAATTCCATATTTTTATAAAGATTTGTCACAGAAAAAAAATTACTGCTCTTGATCTAATGGTTATAAAAAAAGGAAATCTCATATTACTAATGTGAAAAATTAAGTTTTTCAGTTATCTTGAAAAGTTAGCATATTGGAATTGTGACTATTCTCAACTATAGTATGTATTACACATATTATATATTAAAATATACAGGTTAAATAAAATAAATAAAAATATAAATTTGGGAATATTTACCTTCTAAAATAGGTGGTGACTGAGACTCTTCTTTGGAATGTTCAGATTTATTTTTAAAAGCTTGAGGGCTATCTGATAGATTTTGAACACCACTAACATTAAGACTATCTTCTGAAACTATAGATACATCACTACTGCTCTTACTATGTCCCATAACAGAGTATAGTTCTACTTGCGCTTCTTTCATTAATTTTACAATTCTTGGGGTAGGAATAAAAGCTCTTTTAGGTCTTGTTATTGGACTCTCCTCTATAACTTCTTCCCATTTATATTGTTTTCTTTTCCTCGATCCAGGAGTACTTGAATTAGTTTTATTTTTTAATAACGGACTCTCATAGTGAATAACTTCACCAAAAAGATCTCGATGTTCTTTTAGTGGCGACTCAGATGCTTCTATGACATCAACTTGAGAATTACAAAGTATCCATGGATCTGATTCATCGACAGTTGTTAGGTTAAAAGAATCGTCGATGGCCAATTTTCTATTTTTACGGTCGCTTAGGCGTTGAAGAGTGTCCCGTGGATACGTGATATGAACAGACATTTTCAAAATAAACTAGTGATCGAGGAAAAGCAGACGGCAGTCAAGAACATAGATTTTATACTGAAGTTATAGTATAAAACTTGTCATTGACCGCCGAAAGATTAAATCAAAACACAATACAAAAAAGTAATTATTAGTGTCGTAATTTGTCTCTACACTAGTGAACTGTTCACACTTGTCAGAATAGATACTTTGTCCGTTAATTCAAAGTAGTAAAATTCTTATCAAAAACGTTGATAACAATTCTTAATCCATGAAAACTTTATTAGTTACTATTCAATAGATAGCACTAGTTATGCTTATTTAGTAATTTGGACAGTCTGTGATAGTAAATTTTACATTCATCAATATTCTGATCGTCAATTTAGTCTATTCGTGGATCATAGTCGTATTTAAATCATTTTCGAAAAAAGTGTTCAAAGAGATAAATAGTGGGAAGGGGTTTTGTTCCCTCCATACTCATTAAAAATTATTCAAATATATGAATTAGAATATAGAACTATAACCCCCAAAAATAATTTTTTCAAGATGTGTATGCTACAACTGCCCTCTTAAATTTATCTAAAGTACTTTTTCCTTTTACGATTCCTAGTAATCAAGTAAGGATGTAAGTAAGCAGTAGGGTGTCATAATAAGAGATTAACATGGAGGCTGATTTTTGAAACAATGATATCACGTTCGATGAATTAATTTATCGCAAGACATTAATCATTGTGCATTGTTAAAAAATAATGTTTATTATTAACCCATCACTCTTTCTTACCTTGAAGAACTTGTTATTTACAGCCTATTCTAAAATAGGTCGTCTGTTAAAAGTGAGATAAATGTATGTAAAGAAAACGTTTTAAATAAAAACGAGGATATATGTGATATCATAACACTTTTTTGATTATTAATTTTTTTGGTTGGCGTGTTTTTATTATTTAATGTGTCTTTTATAGTATATCAGTTTTTTTTTAGCTTCAATGCAAAACTGAGAATGTATTGGTTTTACTATGATGTGTTTTTTTTGTGTCCGTTACCACTTTTTCTCAGCTCTTACTGAACCGATTTCTTTCAACGATACGTCAAAAGATCACAAATCGTATCTGGTTGAAGACATTACTCTCAAGATCTAAAAAAAATTCCCTTCTTCCCCGTAAATAGGTGAAATCTTCAAAAAAAATTACAAATTTAAAAATCCCAAATTTTTAACATTTTTAAAATTTTTTTTACTTAAAACTGCCATAACTTTTTTAAATTAATCTAATCAATATAATATTTTTTTATAGATGCATGATGTCTTTACCTATCATTTGGTATATTTTTTTAATAAATCTGACCCTTTACCTGTCAACAGGGAGGATTCAGTATGACAACGTTTTCACAAAAAATTAACTTTTGAAAGTGTTCCGGAAAGTCTACACTTACACTTTCATATATATTTTAAATTAAAGCTAATTTAATATACTTTATTATGGCAAAAAAAAATTTCGGACTTTATTTTGTTTTCATGGTGAAATTGGCTACCAAATGCTATTTTTGTATGAAAAATCTTGATTTTGTATTTTACATTTTTAACTTTATAATGCTATAATTTATTAAAAAGTGTACGGATCAATACAATTTTTTTATGAGAAATAATATTTTAATCCCTCTTTTATTCGACATACTCTATCTTAATCATGATATAAATAAGGAAATAGCAGATCATGTAAACACTTTCTAAAGATTTGCATCGAAGAGTTTTTTATGATAGTGATTTTAATCACTGTCAGATATTATTATACTTGACCCAACTATGCCATGTCACCACTGTGCTGCGACTCTCCTGTTGTGAGTTTTTTTTCTTAAAACTTCCATAAAAAATTAACAAATTAATATAATTTTTTTTTATATTGAAACCTTAGATATTTTTCTTTCATTTGATATCATTTTTTTGAAAATATAACACATAACCTGCTCAAAAGGGGGGATTTAAAATAGCAAATTTTTACAAAAGCTAACTTTTTCAACTTATCTTTTGAAAATGTTCCAGAAATACTGCGTCCTTTAAACATATGTCAAATTAAAGCTTACAATAAATACTCTAAGTTCAAAAAAAAAAAAATTTGTCCCGACACCTTTTCTTCTATAGGAAAATGATCGTCGAAATAAACGAAAAATGTAATTATTATGTAAAAATCACTGTTTAACATGTAATATTTCAATATTTAAAACTGTCATAACTTTTTGAAAAATGAACTAATTAAAATTATTATTGTTTATATAGAAACCTTAGATATTTTTCTTTCATTTGATACAAATGTTTTAAAAATCTGACTTTAAACCTGCCGCAGAGAAAATTCAAATAAACAAATTTTGCACACAAGTTAAGCTCTTTCGATGTAATTTTTTTAAATGTTCCGGAAATATTGACACTTTTATTTAATCTTAAATTAAAATTTATATTATTATTTATAATAAAGTTCATAAGACAAGAGAAATTAAACTTATTAAAATTTTTTTACTTTTTTAAAGTCGAAAAAGTAATTTTACAATTTGAATTAGCTTAAATTGATAATTTTTTTAATCGGCAAAAACGTCGAACAATTGCTGAATCGGTAACACTTGTGTCTTCACAGTTAGGGTACCAGGTTAGAATAAGCTTATAGCAATTAATATTTGGCATTTTTTTTAGTTAGAAAAAATGTTCAAATCATTTGATTTTTATTTCATTTAGATTCATTAACTTCAATAAATATCAAGGATTCCATCACTTGTAGTTTCCCCTCACGAGGAGAAATTTTTTATTCATGTTAATATTATTATACTAAGCGTTTTATTTTTGTATCTGCGATTTATTTTTTCAACCTCACTTAACCTACTTTTTCACCCACATTTTCCATATTGACAATTAAAATCATTCATTTCTAATATTTTTAAAGTATTTATTGTCGAATTAGATTTGATATGTTAAAAGTATTCAACTACAATAGTAAATAATTTTACTTTGTAATTTATTAATTTTTTAACTCTATTAGTAGTGTGCTACTACCAGTTTATAATATTCCAACATTTTTGGTAACATGTTGCTATATAAATCATTTAAAAAAAAAATGATTGATAGTTTCTCCTGAATTAACAATCGATTTTTAAAATTATAATCCATTTTTATAATACGCTAAATTGAGTAAATATTTTTAACAACTTTTTTTTATTAGTACTTTTAGTTAAAGTAAATCATTAAAATTAATTAAGTTCTGAATATTTCCGTTGTAGAATCTTTTTAAACACCAAAAGTTAATTAAAAATGATTACTATGATTTTTATTAAAGTGATCTATTGCGATAAAAATGCAAAAAAAAATTTAACTTTTTTGATAAATTTACTGTAAATAGAAATTATAAAATATCGTTTCTCTAATTTCAGATTAGGCCAATTATTTCAAATATAATTAAAAAACTGAAATCAAATGAGTCCGACTGCACACTTGCTATATTATTTAAAATAAAGATATCACAATATTTGGATAAAGATTTTTATTAATGAAAATTTAAATAATGTAAACTTGGATAATAGTTTTATACTAGTGAGTGTCTCCCAAATATCTCAACTATAAAAATTTTAAGTTTGAAAAATCTGAGCGAGTGAAAACTCGTATTAAAGCTATTATGCGTTCAAAACTACAATCTCATAGTTTAACGAACGACGGGGTGAACCAAGTTGAAAGCCAAACAATGCTGAATGAACTATTAGTGCAATTTTCTGATAACCACGAAGATAAACTAATTCGGTCCTTTCAGAGCTACAAATTAATTGCAATGATAATGTTTTTGGTGGAAGTTTAGGATGTACCATAATTTATCTGAAAATATTTTACATATTATTATTTCATCAATTACCGTTTAAACCATTTTGAACGGTTCTTTCAACTGCTTGAAAGAAAAATCTTATGAATCGCGATACACATTTTTTTAAACTTTTTGTGTTACTCTTTCTAAGTTACTTGATATTTGAAATAATAATTCATTTTTAGTAAAAAAGATCAATAAAAAGTTAAATTTACTTGATATATGTATTTAATATAATATATATTATAAATTAAATAAGGTGTACAATACAATTAAAATTGTCAGACAATTCAAATCTAATATATAGGTTGATAAAAAAATACATCCAAAAATTTAAATTTCTAACAGGAAAACAGCAGTAAATAATGCAGCTGAACAACAGCACTAAGATGACGATTGATTAATTTTCTGGATTTTATTTATAATTTAGAAAATAGAATTTCATAAGAAAGTAATATATCAAAAATGTTGTTAATAAAATCAATACCATCTTCAGATACACATTAAAGTTCAACTCATTTTATTAAAAGAAAATAAATTAATAATAACTAACATAGATGAATACAATACAAATAACATTATTTCAACAGAAAATTAACTAGGGCAGCTATTTTTGATAGCATAGTCGATTATAAATGTAAAATTATGTCGAGTAGCTTCATATATGGTTCCTCTACTCCAAGGACAATTATTTTCATGGGCATATTTTAAACACTGAAATCGACCTTTAGAAGCAGCAAGTCTTGTTGTATTTTCATCCCACACACACCCATTTAAATGACTATATTTTAGGCAGTCTAAATGACCATTTGCAGAAGCTCCACTCATTGTTCCTTCATCCCATTTACACCCATTGTCACTTGCATATATCAAACAGTCAATATAACCACTAGCAGCAGCTTCCCTTATTGTTCCTTCGTCCCACTCACAACCATTTTCATGGGCATACATAAGGCAATCTAAATGTCCATTTGCTGCAGCCGCTCTTGTGGTACCTTCAACCCAATCACATCCATGTCTATGGGCATATTCAAGACAATCTAAATTACCATGCATAGCTGCAAAAACTATTGTATATTCATCCCAAATACATTCCTTTTCATGAGCATATACCAAGCATTCCATACAGTTATTTGCTGCAGCAACTCTAGTTGTACTTTTATCCCAAATACATCCATTTTCATGGGCATACTTTAAACAGTCGATACTACCAATTGCTGCAGCAACTCTAGTCGTACTTTTATCCCAATAACATCCATTTTCATGGGCGTACTTTAAACAGTCGAAGCAACCACTTGCTGCAGCAGCTTTAGTTGTACTCTCATCCCAAATACATCCATTTTCATGGGCGTATTTCAAACAGTCAAAACTACCAATTGCTGCAGCAGCTCTAGTTGTGGCTTCATCCCATTTGCAACCATTTTCATAAACATATTTTAAACATTCTAAATCACTACTTTGGGCAGCTGCTTCTGATGTCATTTCATTCCATGGGCATCCATTTTCATGAGCATACTGTAAACATTTCAAATGTCCATTAGCAGCAGCTTCTATTGTTGTGCTTTCATCCCACGGACATCCCTTTTCATGAGCATATATTATGTGTTCTAAATTACCTTTAGATGCAGCTGACATTGTTGTGCTTTCATCCCATGGACATCCATTTTCATGTGCATATTTTAAACATTCCAATCCATTATTAGAAGCAGCTGCTTCTGTTGTATTTTCATCCCACGGACATCCATTTTCATGTGCATATTTTAAACATTCCAATCCATTATTAGAAGCAGCTGCTTCTGTTGTGCTATCATCCCACGGACATCCCTTTTCATGAGCATATTTTAAACAATCTAATTTACCATTGGATGCAGCTGCTTGTGTTGTGCTTTCATTCCATGGACATCCATTTTCAAAGGCATATTTTAAACATTCTAAGTTACCATTTCTAGCTGCTTCTTCTGTTGTTCTTTCATCCCACAGCCATCCATTTTCATGGCCATATTGTAAACTCTTTATACTACCTTCAATAGCAGCTAGAGTAGTGAAGATTTTGTTCCATTCCATTAAATTTACGTTAGCATATTTTAAAATTTCTAGATTATCATTTGTAATAGCAATTGCCACAATATTGATTTGATTCCAATCACATCCATTTTCATAAGAATATTTTAAACACTCCAATTCACCTTTAGTAGCAGCTGCTTCTGTTGTATTTTTACTCCACGGACATTCATTTTCATGAGCATATTTTAAACATTCAATTTCACCATTAGCAGCAGCTGCTATTGTTGTCATTTCATCCCACGGACATCCATTTTCATGGGCATATTTTAAACATTCTATTTGACCAGTAGAAGCAGCTGCCATTGTTGTTCTTTCGTCCCACAAACAACCATTTTCATGGGCATATTTTAAACATTCTAATTTACCATTTGCAGCAGCTAATATTGTTGCGATTTCATCCCATGGACATTCATTTTCATGAGCATATTTTAAACATTCTAATGCACCATTGGAAGCAGCTGCTATTGTTGTTCTATCGTCCCACGGACATCCATTTTCATAGGCATATTTTAAACATTCTAATTTACCATTAGAAGCAGATGCTTCTGTTATCCTTTCATCCCACAGACATTTATTTTCATGGGCATATTTTAAACATTCCAATTTACCACTAGAAGCAGCTTCTAGTATTGTATCTTCATCCCAAGGACATCCATTGTCATGGGCATATATTAAACATTCTAATTTACCATTAATAGCACATGCTTCTGTTATATTTTCATTCCAAGGACATTCATTTTCATGGGCATATTTTAAACATTCAAAATTACCATTAGATGCAGCTTCTAATGTTGTCAATTCATCCCAAGGACATCCATTGTCATGGGCATATATTAAACATTCTAATTTACCATTAGATGCAGCTGCTTCTGTTGTCCTTTTATCCCACGGACATTCATTTTCATGGGCATATTTTAAACATTTCATTTGACCATTAGCAGCAGCTGCTATTGTTGTCATTTCATCCCACGGACATCCATTTTTGTGAGCATATTTTAAACATTCTACTTCGCCTTTAGTAACAGCAGCTAATATTGTGTTTTCATCCCATGGACATCCATTTTCATGAGCATATTTTAAAATGTCTAAATTACCGTTTAAGGCTGCAACCATAGTAGTTATGTCAATAAATTCACATCCATTTTTGTGAGCATATTTTAACATTTCTAAATTAGCCTTCTTAACTGCACTCAGCACAATATTGTATTGATTCCATTCACAGCCATTTTCATAAGCATATATTAAGCATTCTATGTTATCATATTTTGCAGCTGCATCTGTTGTTCTTTCATCCCACGGACATCCATTTTCATGAGCATATTTTAAACAATCTAATTTACCATTTGCAGCAGCTGCTTCTGTTGTTTTTCCATCCCACGGACATCCATTTTCATGAGCATATTTTAAGCATTCTAATTTACCATTTGCAGCAGCTGCTTTTATTGTTTTTTCATCCCACGATAATCCATTTTTATATGCGTATTTTAAAATTTCTATACTACCTTCAGAGGCAGCTAGAGTAGTTAGAAATATATCCAATTCACGTACATTTTTGTATGAATATTTTAAAATTTCTAAATTATCATTTTTTATAGCACTTGTAATAATATTGAATCTATTCCATTTACAGCCATTGTCATAAGCATATTTTAAGCATTCTAAAGAATTATATTTTGCAGCTGATTCTGTTGTACTTTCATTCCATGGACATTTATTTTCATGAGCATATTTTAAACATTCCAATTTACCATTAGCAGCTGCGGCTTCTGTTGTCCTTACATCCCATGGGCACTTATTTTCATGGGCATATTTTAAACATTCCAAATTACCATTTGCAGCAGCAACTATAGTTGTATCTTCATCCCATACACATCCATTTTCATAAGCATATATTAATAACTCCAAGTCTCCATTTGCAGCTGCTTTTCTCGTGGTACCTTTTTCAAACGTGCATATTAAATCGTTCTCCGAATATTGAATTGCTATATGAAGACAATTGTTAATTTATTTGTGATTTTTTTAAATTTTAATATTTTTAGTAATCTAGACTATTTTACATAAATATATATATATTTATTAAACGAGCAGTTCAATAACATTTGAATTTTTTTTAATGTTATTAAATAATTTAATCTGTTTTTACATTTATTGTTATATTTCACTTTACAAAAAACTGTTTAACAAATAAGCATTTCTCTATTTGAAAGAAATAAAAAACTAATCTATATAATTATTATCAGATTGTTTAAAAATTACTAAAACTGCAAGGAAGAAACCATCTCCTTTTGGAAGCACACTTTTAAGTTATAAATTTTTTTTTAAACTATAAAGCTAAATGGTAATGCAGAAGTAAAAAGTTTGAGTGTATTATAATATAATTCATCAACACAACGCAAACATTTTAAGTTGGTATAGAATAAATCTTTTGCAGATCTACCTATTGGACGTTATTTAAAAAAAAATAAAGAGCCATTTTATAAAGATTTGCAGAAATTACAGCAGTTCCTTCATATCCATTAAATTTATGATAATTTTTATTTCACTAAAATTTATATAATTAAAAGGTGGAGATAATAAGTTGTTAGTGTATTTGTTACTATGTATATTAATAATGTTTCATAAGACATTAATGTTCAATTCAGTTAACTAAACACTGGAAAAAAATTTAAATATATATTTATTATTAAATACAATATTTTTTGCGTAAAGTAAAGTTTTAAGTACAATTTAGTGTTAATCCAAAGTCTAAAATTATCGTATAAAAAGTTGTTACTAAAAATAGGTGTGTAAGAGTTATAGAGGATTATTCATTATTGTGATAAAGATGATTATTTTGTCTAAACTTTATTACAAAAACTAAGAATTATAAATAAACCACAGTATTTTTATTCTTTGAAATTATTGATTACGTCTTTTGAAAATTTATGTATTATTATACTTTAAATTAAAAATATTTATTAAAAAATAACACTTAAGTACTAAAGGTAAGTGAATTTAAAATTATGAATATCACGTAAGTATAATATTTATGGAAAAAATTAATTTAAACTTCAAAAATATATATTAAATAGTATTTTTTTAAGTAATTCAGTTTTTTCTTCATTCTGGAAATTTTCAAAATACAGATACGTGAAATCCCTGTTCAAGTATCGAAATTATCAATAAAATTTGGTCATAAATCACTAATTTGTAACAAACAATAATAGAAGAACGATTCATCAAATAAAAAATATTTTAAGAAAAAATTGTTTGAAATTTTTTCTATCATATCAATAAACTAAATATAGGAGTTCTCATTAGTGAAAATTTTTTGAAAAAGTTTTTTTCTCAGAAGGGATTTAAAATAAATATTTTTGCAGTTTTTTAATTAAATAATATTATTCTTTATGAAAATTTAAAATGTTTAATAATTTAAAGAAAATGAGTATACTTTAAGAGTCGATTTTAAAAAATACATGAATTAATTTGTATAATTAATATTATTGATAGTCATAAATAATGTAAAATAAAATTTACCTTCGTTAAGTATCAAACAAGATATTATTAGCCAAAGAGATATTAATTGCCAATTCTATAATAAATTAAAAAATCTTTTAGATATTAATAAAGCATTCAGGTATAGTGTATACTTACCTCCATTTTTAATTTAGAAATTAAATTTTGAATAATTAATAACAATTTTTTGGTTAAATTAGTGTATATATAATAAACTATCCACATAATTTATTTCTACTTTTATATTTTTAAATTTGAATAGAACATTTTAAGTAAATATAAAAGTATACATTAATAAATTATTATTTTTAGTCAAACTACTCATACACATGTAAAAAATTTATCATGATAAAATAAAATCAAATGTACTTTTAAGATGTATTGATATTAAAAAATATTTACATATCCATGTTTATAACAAAGCATGGATAAGTTGTAGTCAGGGAAAATAAAGATTTTTTTTTATAAATAAAAGTATATATTAATGCAAAGGTTAAGTCCAATGTATTTTTCATATTACGTTTATCATTATATAGAAATTATTTTTATTTTCAAAAATTTTACGCGAGAATCCTTAATTTTATAATTTAATTAACAAGTATAACAAATTATGAAATTATTTTAGCTTCGATGCGAAGCTGAGAAGGTATTGGTTTTACTATGATGAGTTTTTTATTTTTTTGTCTGTTACCATTTTTTCTCAGCTCTCACTTAACGGATTTCTTTTAACGATACGTCAAAAGATCTCAAATCGTATCTAATCAAAGACATTACCCTCAAAAATTGAAAAAATTTCCCTCGTTCCCTGTAAATGGGAAAAACCTCCAAAAAAATTACAAATTTAAAATAGCTAATTTTCGAAATTTTTTCAATTATTTTTTCTTAAAACTGCCATAACTTTTTCAAAAATGACTAAATCAATAAAAATTTTTTTTATAGATGCTTGATGTCTTTACCTATCATTTAGTATATTTTTTTTATAAATTTAACACTTTTTTAACACTTTTATATATATCTTAAATTAAAGCTAATGTAATGTGCTTATTATGGAAAAAAAATTTAACCTCTGGACTTGTCTTCGTGATGAAAGTAGCTACCAAATGCTATTTTTGTGTGATAATTCCCGATTTTATATTTTACATTTTTTACTTTAAAATGCTATAACTTTTTAAAAAACGTATGGATCAATACATTTTTTTCATGAGAATTAGTAGATGGTTCAGGATAATAAAGACAAGTAAATGTATAAAGGAACTAATGTAGATTACATTTATTCAGAAATATAGACTAATTAATTGGTAAGCACCTTTAATAGGACACTGAGTTAATGGGGTGGTAATCTGACACTCGAGACCTTGTAAAGTGCGATAAAATTACCTTTCTGAATTTAAAGGAGATTATTGATTTATTGCTTTATCGTTCTTTAGTCAGATTATTCTTTAATAAATACTTGGGTTAATATGAATTCCCTTACTTCTTTTAGACAGCATGTGTAAAGATTGTCTGTAGTCAAAATGTTATGTATAAAACTTTTACATAAATTATACTAATTCGCACACACAAAAATTCTATTAAGTCTCTTTTTATATAAACAAATAAAATCTCGACACAAAATAATTATATTTCAATATCGCATTAAAATGTGTCGTCGACAACACGGGGTAGTGGTTAGTTAAGAGAAATAATTTGGTCAAGGAGATTCTGAATTCTATATTGAATTCAGAGCTTTAAAAGTGCGGTTCGCTCGCCGATGTCCAAGCAAAACTAAGCCTTTTTATATTATTGTTAATTATCCCCATTTTGGAACATAGTCGTCAGCTCTTTTAATGGATATACATAATAATAAAATTAAACATTACATGATTAATAACGATCGAGATAAAATGTATACAATAAATGAGACAAAGTGTACAGTAATATAAGTATTATGACAGAAAAATAATTTGATTGTATACACAGTGGAGGCTTGTGGGTGCTGGTGTTACAACTATAAATATAATACCGCTAATTACAGGTATGACATTAAATATAATAAAATAGAATATAATACACATATTATTATTGTAAGGGTCACAGTAGAAAATAGAAATGAAAATAATAATAGCCATTAAACAATTATAGCAAGCGATAACGACGAGCGTAAACGCAGTTAATTCTAAAAATAAATTACCCATTACAGTAATATGCCAATATTTAACCGAATGAATGAGTACATGCGTACTCGCATATATTGAGGGAAACAACTTAAATGTTCGCACATGACTATTTTACCAAATAAAATTAAATTTATACTAAAAATGTTATATATTTAAAAACTAAAAAATATTAAACTCAAAAAGCTACAAAAAATTACCGAAAATCATTTATAATAAATTATAATATGAAATTGGTGATCTAATTACTTTTTGTTCCCCCACGTTAGTGAGTGTACTAGCTGCGATCGTTCTGTCGTCCAAGGCACGGGCCGCCGCTGTGTATACAAGTAATATAAAATACAGATTATCAATTTTTCATTGATAAATGTAAGATGCGTAATGCATTGGGCATATTACGACAACCGACAGTATTAAAAATAAATTAGGAAACCGATATTTTGTCTACTTTACAAATATCCATATATCAGCGTTATTATTATTGTATGGCTATCCCCATACAATAGTTATATTAACACGCTTATATTAGTTTCACATGTATGTGTGTTGTGTGATGTGTGTTTGTAACTTTCCAAGCAGCATGTGTTATAATTCTCGCGTACCCGTCGTCTATGACCTTGAGACTAGACGTCGTAACGCATTCACCCCATCCTGCTCACCACACGCCGACAACACTAATCCTGTATAATTTTATATTTTTGGTTTTCGTACCCGTACACGCGTACCTGTCATCAATTATATGTATATAAACAAATTTTTATTTTGACTGACCAAAAGCGTGTAATGCGTCTTACGTATATATATTTATATACTCCTGCCGCCGTTTATACCTTAGGTATAACGTTCCCCCCGCCCACAAAACACAGCTATACCTCGTACATGATACGTTTACGTACTTAAGTCGCCTTACTATATATGAAGAGTGAATGTGTCAAACGTTCTATGTGCCAAAAACATATTTGTTCAGAAAACACAAAAAACAATGGTAACATGGGCATGTCTCACACAACGAACACCATCTATGAATGCAATTTTGTATAAGTAAAAAATTTAATTGACATTTGAAACACATACAAGATTGTGGCCTTTGGCACATAGAATATAAATCAGAAATAAAACAATTTTTCACTTTTTTGGCACATAGAACGTTTGACACATTCACTCTTCATATATGTATGTATGTATGTATATATATTAGGGTGTCCCTTATTTTGAAAATTTTGGAAATTCTTCGGGCTCACCCCCAAATTTGTGTGTATACATATAAAAAGTGGCTACAAAAAATTTCAGGCCGATCAGATAAGTTTAACCCGTGCCGACTTGGGGTTGAAAATCGGCCAAAAGGGGTACTTTATTAGTTTTTAGCAATGAACTCGTAAATTAGCGCTCTCACAAAAAAAAATGTTGAAACTAAATTGTATATCTAACTGTTTTATATAAATTAAGTCCTTACAGTTTTTCTTTTAAATCCATTAGTTTTCTAGAAAAATGTCAAAATACATAATATTTTGTAAAATTGCCGAAATTAGCATATTTACGAATATTTCATCATATATGACGAACCATGTGTGATACGACCTAATATTTCATACAAAAATTGTTTAAAATTAAATTTTACGAAATAAAAGTAATAAGTACATATTTCATTGAACCGATCGTTTTATTGCTAAAGCTGAAATAACTCGATCATATTACGATTTTTACTAAATATATGAATTTTATTGCTAGATTCTGTTAGTTATCATTTGGTACACTACAACATTTATCGTACAAGTACGGCGATAATACTATGGTATGACTGGTTAATGTATTGTTATTATTTTTAAATTATAAATAACTCTGGAAATCATAAATTTATTACAAATCGCAGCAATAGGTATAGTGAACTCATACTTATACCACTTTAGTCGCTCACGTCGCGTATTAAGTTGAACTGCTTCCTATTGTGTTTTTCTTTTAGTGTTCGTAAAAATGTCCGTAGTATTACGAAATGACAATAAAATATTTTTAATAGAGTCTTTGACTACTCAAATTTTAGGTTCAAAACTTCCATCTATTGGGCAAGTTCTAAAAGTTTTTTTTTATAATCTAAGAATTGTTAATCTTACTATAAGAGCAAGTGCAGCATTAACTATTCGCGAGTGTAATATTTTCTGGGAAAAAGCTCGAATTCCTACTCGATCATTTCACCACTGTGTAAATAAGTTGGTTAAATTTTATGAAAAGTGGCGCATTTTACAAAAGAATTCTCACAAAATTGGAGAAACGTTTAGAGCAAAAGAAACTGAGTTTATTAATAATTTTGATAATTTGTTTGATATCGCTCACGCCGATGCTTTAAATTTAATTAAGGTAGTTGCCGATAAACAATTTTTAATGAACCAAAGACTTCCTGGTCGAATTGGTTGTCTAGGTGGCATCGATCAAAAATTACAAGAGAAAGAAGAGAGATCTAAAAAGCGTAAGATTAGGGAAACAGAAAGGCTTAGTGAATACCAAGTAGCCGGTCCATCTACTTCATATTCTACGCAAAGTATACCTTATTTATCAGATGATATAATTATAAGTTCTTCTTCATCTATAGAATCTGGGAATGAAAAATCTTTTAATGTTTTAGCAAAACAGAATAAAAGGGGTCAAACAAATATCATAACACCGAAACTTGTAGCTGCGTTAGATCGATGTAAAATAAGCGCACGAGACGCAGTTTATATTATTCAAGCAACAGTTGAAGCTTTAGGTCATGACGTCGATTCTCTTATTATAAATAAGTCTTCAATACATAAATGCCGTGATGCTATGCGAATTGAACGGGCTAATTTAATAAAAAAAAATTTTCAAAGTTGTCCTCCTATGTATGTCACTGTGCATTGGGATGGAAAAATTTTACCAACTTTAAATGTAAGAGACTCGGGCATTGATAGGTTACCAATTGTGATAACTAGTAAAAATTTAGATTTATTAATTGGTATACCGAAACTAAAAAATTCGACGGGGTATGAACAAGCTAATGCTGTTCATTGTGCGTTAGATGATTGGGGCTTATTAAATATTGTCCAAGCTCTATGCTACGATACCACCGCATCTAATATGGGACGTTTAAAAGGTTCGTGTATTTTACTAGAGCAAAAATTAGAGAAAGATCTATTGTATTTACCTTGTCGCCACCATATATATGAACTGATTTTACGCGGTGTTTTCGAAACAAAACTTCCTCAGGTAACATTAAGCCCTGATATTCCCATATTTAAAAACTTTAAAAAAAATTGGAATAATATTGATGTTTCTAATACGATCTGTGGAATAGATGACGTTGAATGTTGCTCTGCACTTGAAAATTATCGAAATAATATTCTCCAGTTTTCTAGGGCAATGTTGCGAATCGGATGTTTTAGAGATGATTATAAAGAATTGCTCGAGCTATCTATAATTTTTTTAAATGGTGACTCAGATAAAAAAATTAAAATACACCCTCCTGGAGCCATGCACCAAGCTCGTTGGATGAGTAGAGCAATATATTGCTTAAAGATTTATTTATACCGAAAACAGTATTTACTAAAAACTTTTGAAATAAATGCTATTCGAAATATATGTATTTTTATTATTAGATTTTATTTAAAAGCCTGGTTTAACTGTACTGAACCGTCCAAAGCTCCGAATAACGACTTAAATTTTATCAAAGAATTAAAGTTATATGAAAAAGAACAACCGTTAATTGCGAAAGCAGCGTTAAACAAAATTTGTAATCATTTATGGTACTTAACAGAGGAAACAGCTGCTTTAACATTTTTTGACGATACCATTTCAACCGAAATAAAAAAATTAATGGTTGTATCCCTTAATAATGAGTCAACAATAAACCCTAGCAAACGTTTTATTCTTTCATCGAGTGATATAGACAAATCATTTTCAGGTATAATAATTTTTGATATCTTTATTTTTTGATGACTATTGAGTGATTGATTTATTTTTTTAGAAAAAACTGTAGCTTCTTTTTGTCAAAAAGCAGTATGAAATTTTTTAAAAGATTCGATATCAATACTAATTTTTTAAAATTGGATCCAAGTAATTGGAATACTGATGATTTTTATTTACACGGAAAAGAAATTGTATGTTCACTTAAAGTAGTAAATGACTCTGCAGAGAGAGCGGTTAAGCTAATGGAAGATTTTCATGGAAGTTTAACTGTAAACGATGAAAAAGCTGAGTTACTTTTACGCTGTGTCCAAGAACACAGAAAATTATATCCTAATTGCAACAAAGAAACATTAAAACATAGTTTTTAATGTATATTTTTGTTATAATTTGTGAATTATTTTGAATTTAACATTTTGTATTTTATGTAGTAATTTTTTTTTTTATTTATACAATAATATTGAGAAGTAAGTATAATTATGCGATNTTATTTATACAATAATATGGAGAAGTAAGTATAATTATGCGATTAAGTCAAACAAATACATCAATTTACAATTGAATATACAATATAAATGAAATATATTTAAATTAAGCAATAAAATTCATATATTTAGTAAAAATCGTAATATGATCGAGTTATTTCAGCTTTAGCAATAAAACGATCGGTTCAATTAAATATGTACTTATTACTTTTATTTCGTAAAATTTAATTTTAAACAATTTTTGTATGAAACATTAGGTCGTATCACACATGGTTCGTCATATATGATGAAATATTCGTAAATATGCTAATTTCGGCAATTTTACAAAATATTATGTATTTTGACATTTTTCTAGAAAACTAATGGATTTAAAAGAAAAACTGTAAGGACTTAATTTATATAAAACAGTTAGATATACAATTTAGTTTCAACATTTTTTTTTGTGAGAGCGCTAATTTACGAGTTAATTGCTAAAAACTAATAAAGTACCCCTTTTGGCCGATTTTCAACCCCAAGTCGGCACGGGTTAAACTTATCTGATCGGCCTGAAATTTTTTGTAGCCACTTTTTATATGTATACACACAAATTTGGGGGTGAGCCCGAAGAATTTCCAAAATTTTCAAAATAAGGGACACCCTAATATATATATATTCTTACAATCGCCGCATATGCCTCGCGTACAACGTTCCCCCGCGCCCCGCTCGCCCACCAAACACAGCTATACCTCGTGCATGATACGTTTACGTACTTAAGTCGCTTTACATGTATATACATATTCTAATTACTATTAAACATATATACTAACACGCTTTATTTTTATTGAAAGATATAGAGTGTATTCATTCCGATTACAAAGGATGGATGATTCCCGTATCGTCATTTTTCGTCACTACCGCCATGTTCCAGGAATGGGTAATTTACGCGCCTGCTGCTTTCCTTGGATGTGGTAGCCGTTTCTCAGACTCCCTCCCCGGAATCGAACCCTGATTTCCCGTTACCCATTACAACAATGATATTGATAGTAACTACTATCATAACATGAAACAAAAAAGTGAAAAATAAATATAGTTTTTTTAAACTATACTATACTACTATACTTTTTGCGAAGCTAAGAAGGTATTGGTTTTACTAAGATGTGTTTTTCTTTCTTTTTTTTTTTTTTTCTGTGTCTGTTACCACTTTTTCTCAGCTCTCACCGAACCGATTTCTTTCAATGATACGTCAAAAGATCACAAATCGTATCTAGTCGAAGACATTACCCTCAAAAATTGAAAAAAAATCCCTCGTTCCCCGTAAATGGGGGAAACCTCCAAAAAAATTACAAATTTAAAAATCGCTAATTTTCAAAATTTTTTCAATTTTTTTTATTAAAAACTGCCATAACTTTTTAAAAATGAACATATCAATATAATTTTTTTTTATATAGATGCATGATATTATTACCTTTCATGTAGTATATTTTTTTGTTATATCTGATCCTTTAACTGTCCACAGGGGGGATTTACAATGACAACTTTTTTACAAAAAATTTACTTTTTCAACTTAACTTTTGAAAATGTTCCGGAAGGTCTGACACTTTTATATATATCTTAAATTAAAGCTAATGTAATATACTTTATTATGGAAAAAAAAAATTTCGGACTTTATTTTATCTTCATGGTGAAAACAGACATCAAAGTTTATAAAAAAAATACGATTTTTGTAAAAAAATTCTTTTTTATATTTTTAACTTTATAATGCTATAACTTTTTGAAAGATGTATGGATCAATATAATTTTTTTTTTATAGATGCATGATGTCTTTACCTATCATTTGGTATATATTTTTTTTAAATTTGACCTTTTTTCTGCCCACAGGGGGGGATTTAAAATGACAACTTTTTCACAAAAAATTAACTTTTTCAACTTAACTTTTGAAAATGTTCCGGAAGGTCTGACACTTTTATATATATCTTAAATTAAAGCTAATGTAATGTACTTTAATTTGAAAAAAAAAAATTTGACCTCTGGACTTGTCTTCATGGTGAAAACGGCTACCGAATGCTATTTTTGTGTGAAAATTTTCGATTTTATTATTTATATTATATTTAACTTTATAATGCTATAACTTATTGAAAAGTTTATGGATCCACACAATTTTTTTATGAGAAATAATATTTTTTAATAAACCTTTTTTCATTTGACATACTTTATCTTAATCGAGATATTAATAAGGAACCAGCAGATCAAGTAGCTTTTGGAATAAAACACCAATTTTTTTAAAATTAAACACTATCTAAAGATTTGCATCGAAGCATTTATTTTTGATAGTGATTTTAATCACTGTCAGATATCATTATACTTGATCCAACTATGCCACGTCACCACTGTGCCGCGACCCCCCTGTGCTGGATTTTTTTAAACATTTCTGTTATAACCGCAAAAAAATTTGCTATTTTGAATCGCCCCTTTGGGTCTGCTAAGGGCCATATATCCAAAAAAATTTAACCTATAAAAGGGGAAATACCTAAGGTATTTATAAAATAAAAATTTGTTTGATTCATCATTTTTTCAAAAGGTTATTATAGTTTTAAATAAAAAAGGTTTTATATATGTCGAAATTCAATATCGTATATGTCGCATTGCTAATCGGCGCAGTCCTAATAATTATTCAAATTCAATGGATAGCTTTAATTTTAATACCAACAAAATTGGTCGGTAAATTAGTTAGTTAAAAAATAGTTTTTAATTCTCTTTTTTGTGTAACATTTATGTTAAAGTCAATACTTCGACTGTATTGTAGTTATCATCATGTAAATTATTACTACCTAAAATATCTTGACGTTTTTCAAATTACATTTGTCATACATTCATTGCTATTTGTGTATAATACATTTGCATAAGCGCAATTCGAACAAATTGTATGGGAGGATATATTAGTATCTCGCTTAATAGATATGTATATACATCTTTAATATCATTATTAAAATAATATAGAATTACTATAAAAAAAAAATACTTAATTTTTTACTAACATGTTACATATTTCTAATTATAATTATATAATTATATAACTTTGGTAACATATAATATGTATTTTTGTTATAATACATATACCACTCATTGTTCAGTAGTCAGTAAATCATTGTCTATTAGTCATAAAATTAAATAAAAATTATTCATGTCAAACTATTGCGAGAAATATGAAAAAAAAAATTATTGATAAAAATCTAATGTAATAACTATAAGGAATTATTTAGATATGACATATATATATATATATATATATTAAGTAAAATAATATATAATAACTACCACAATTGAGTAATAAACAGATAATAGTAAAGGTCATGACACTTCTTGCATATGTAGATGGATTAAATTTAACATAAAAGGGCACAAAACTGTCATTCGGCTCATTCCTTTTTCCCTTTATGTATCAACAAGTGCAAGAAGTGGCTTGGCATATATTATAAATTCACAAAAAAGTCGAAGTATATTTATTTTCAACCTTGTTTCTAATATCACGAAGATAAACTTATATTTCACAGAAGATACATAAGGTTTAAAGTTAAGTAAAATGAATACATAAATTAAGTAGGGAATCAGAAAATTAAGTGATTACTAGAATAAAATATTGTTTAAATAAATAAAATCGATAACGTTTGTATTAAGTTAACCAGCCTAGTCCAATCTTTGGGTTATCTGTCTGGTCAATACAATAATGACACTCTTGCGAAGATAAAAAACCCACTTGTGGTTCTTTTACTATTCAAGGTATTTATTGACACGACTCACAGTCAGCACAAGCTGAGATACTACTGGTGCGAGTGGTGTTACTTAAAGTGTGATAATTAATCACAGTAACTTCTATTTCAAACTATTATTATTTTAATAAATTTCTCATATAACTTTATTTTTCTATAGTTCATATCTTATCATAGAACCCTCGTACTCAAATTTCGAGAGAAAAATATATATCATTATATTATATAATTTTAATCAATAAATACATAGAAACTCAATCATTACCATGCTCATACAAAACTACACAATGAAATATATACATTTAAATATATTTCATTTTGAGTTCCTATATTTATCTATTGATTTTCATTTCTTATGTAGAGTGTAATTTATTAAGAATACTGCACCTCATTTTTTCCATAAATAATTTTTTTTTTTTATTTAATCTATTTTGATTTATTTCTATGATCCATAGTAAACATTATATTTATTATTTTAAATATATTTTTAATTTAAAGTAATATTAGCCACGAGTGATTAATTCTCATTATACCAAATTTATTGTATAAAAAAATGATTTTTAAAGGTTGATTTTAGGAATAAATTTCGAAAGTTAAATGAGAACCTATAATTATTTTTTTTCTAATGAATGGAGGATGGATTAAATGTAATTATTACTGATCAACAACCTGTTTTGTATAATTACTTTTTCAATTAATATAATTTTTAAATTCAAATTCAATGAACCATCATACTTTACTAATTACTTGGATAAAAAGAATACCCTAAATAGTTCTTTCTCTGGTTAGTTTTCTTCGTTGCACTGTTTATATCCGTATTATACACTTTTTATATCTGTTCATCCAAACGTTTTTATCGTAATAAAATTTTTTTGTATTTGTTACCACTTTTTCTCAGCTCTCATCGAACCGATTTCTTTCAATGATACGTCAAAAGATCACAAATCGTATCTAGTCGAAGACATTACCCTTAAAAATTGAAAAAAATTCCCTCGTTCCCCGCAAATGGGGGAAATATCCAAAAAAATTACAAATTTAAAAATCGCTAATTTTTGAAATTTTTTCACTTTTTTTTCTTAAAACTTCCATAACTTTTTGAAAATGAACATATCAATATAATTTTTTTTATATAGATGTTTAATGTCTTTACCTATTATTTGGTATATTTTTTTATAAATTTAACTATTTACCTGCCCACAGGGGGCGATTTAAAATGACAATTTTTTCAACTTAACTTTTGAAAGTGT